AGCAGACATACCATAATCAGCAAACCTAGTTTGAGACCATTCTAGCTCATGTCCAGTCTCTGCCATGTGTTCTGCCATTTCTGACTGTTGGACCCAGATTCCTTTACAAGCATTTTTGCGTTGCCCCAATCTGTCGAATCTCTTCTTCTTGCTCTTTTATACGAAATAAAACTCCCTCCAACAATGTTATCTCAGAAGATTCATCAAAACCCAGTAACGCTTCATATTTATCGATGTTTATATTTAATGGTTTATTAGCTTGGCTTACTAATCCCTTTTGTGGCGGTTTATAGAATATCCATCAACCACTATGCGAGTTGTGATGTGGGAATTGACTATGATACAAACGGATTAAAGAGCAATGGGCTTAATTTGTTTTTAGTAAATTATAAATACGCTGAGTTTGATCTGAGACGTGATCTAATCTGCCAATAGGGAGTTTTTAATGTGGTAATTTGTTCTCATTTAGTTTCTAAGGCCTCTTATGTGCTGTTTTTGAATAGGCTACTCTTTTACATCTCGCCTCATAAGCATACTAGACATATCCACAAATCTATTCTGTAGATCACTCCTAAGTAGATTTTCAGAGTATCTTTGATATTTGTTGTAATAAAAATGATATGTTCGATTGTGAAATAAAACATGCTTTTCATTTAAGCAAAAGATAAGCCGTTAACCGTAATTAATCTAAACATATTTAGGTGGGTATTCTCCAAAGTTACTGCTCTTGTTATGGAATTACTTGGTATGGTATGCTCTTGAGTATTGGGTAAGGAAATTAATTATTACTTAGACCTTGGCACTCTTTTAGCTGTGTTGCCTAAAGCCAACGGTCAAGAGGTTTGCCAGGCCAAGACTTATTGGCTCTCAATAGGATGGTAGTAGCATTAAATGCTTGTAACTCCGTCTGTTTCGAAATCGCACGAATATTTTTATTCACTTTTCAAAGTCTTCGAATACTTAAAGCCTTTTAAAAAATAGGTATTTTTGAGTAAATCGCTTATGCAACTTAGCTATCTATTTTTATCAAAGGAATAAAGACCAAGATGGTGTGGCCTTTTGTATGGTCGTAGTCTCCTTTCGTTTTATGGAAGTTGTTTGGTCATATTGGCAGGAAAACTTATAGGAACTCACCTTGTCCGGAGTCCATTGTATGCATAATCATTTCAAAAGTCGGACCGTGGACGTGGTACATTCACAGACGTTTCGTCGGCATCGTAGTCGGCATCGTCAGTAAGTTTTACCATTTGTAGCACCATATTACAACTCGTCAAAGAGGCAAATAAAGCCGATTCTTTGACCAAACGTGTGCTAAACAGTTGTGTTAACTCCCCTTCTGCCCTGGCCTATTCACATTTCCTATAGCCTCCTATCACGT